AAAATAAGGCAATCAGAATAATTAATGATGTCCCATTAATGATGGGTTTAGGGTTAGGGTTATGGGGTTAGGGTTATGGGATTAGGGTTAGGGTTTTAGGGTTAGGGTTAGGGTTAGGGTTAGGGTTAGGGTTAGGGTTAGGGTTAGGGTTAGGGTTAGGGTTAGGGTTAAAAAGGGGAATGCTGTAAAACGTTGCCCAATGACTCCAATATTTTGTGTAAAATAGTGCTATCAGTGTGCAATATCCGAATTCCAATCATTTGATTTCATTTTCAGCACGGTTATAGTATTACCCCTTTTACACTATTCCTGAATGACATGAGTGTAKGTTGGAAATTGACGTAGTGATAAAGAAGTTATCGTACAACAGAACGCGAGATCCGGGCCTGGTTCACGACGCCCGAGAGGATGAAGGTAGGGCCAGAAATGCCAAGCGTTCTCAAGGAGGAGTATGTTGTATTGGGTGAAAAACAAAATCTTAACATCAGAAGATCGTAACAACAAAGCAACTCCAGAAATTTTAAACTTTGAATTATTTTAGTGCCTTGGCGTGTATTGTCCGCCTTGTCACGTTGGGACGCATGTGGTCGCGCAAGCGTGGTTCCTATCGTTGTTCACCTAAAATCGTCTACAGCTAATTGTCGTTGCGTTCTGCACGGATTTTGACCTAGAGACGTTCAGTCACAATCCAACAGATGACAGTTTTTCAGCAAAGTACAAATACCAATTGTCTGAATCTGCTGGGTTCCACCCGTACTGAGTAGAATTACTATTGCAACAACACTTCATCAGTAGGGTTAAAACTAACCTTGCTCACGACGGTCTAAACCCAGCTCACGTTTCCTATTAGTGGGTGAACAATCCAACACTTGGCGAATTCTGCTTCGCAATGATAGGAAGATCTGACTTTGTAGGACTCAAAAAGCAACGTCGCTATGAACGTTTCTCTGCCACAAGCCAGTTATCCCTGTGCCAACTTTTCTGACACCTCTAACTTAAAACTCCTAAAGACTAAAGGATCGATAGGCCATGCTTTCACAGTTTGTATTCATACTGAAAATCAAAATCAAGTGAGCTTCAACCCTTTTGCTCTACATGAGATTTCTGTTTTCATTGAGTTCACCTTAGGACACCTGGCATTATTATTTGACAGATGTCACGCCCCAGCCAAACTCCCAACCTGACAGTGTCTTCGACTAGGATTGGTCTGCAAAAGATAGACCTTAAATCCAGAACGTGAACCTTGCGGTTCGCCTCCACTTCATCCAATAAGTAAAATGAATCCTCGTTAAATGATTTACGTTGTGCTCGTTCCAATTACAAGACTTAGAAAAGCCAAGTCTTGTTATTTCTTCTCATGCTCCCTCTCTATACAATACCTTACCATCAGCAGTTGAGATCACACGCATTCTTTAGCCGTATGAACCCAAAGTCCAGACTTGCCCTCCAATGGATCCTCCTCAAAGGTCTTCAGTTGTGCTCATTCCAATTGCAAGCCTTAGTAAAGCCATGTCTTGTCATTTCTTGTTAGGCTCCATCTCAATACATTACTATCAACAGCTAAGATTACACGCAGTGTTTGGCCTTGTGAAACCAAAATCCAGACATGCCCTCCAATGGAACCTCGTTAAAGGTTTTCAGTTGTGCACATTCCAAATACAAGACATAGAAAAGCCACGTCTTGTTATTTCTTGTCGGTCTCCCTCTCAATACAATAGCTTACCATCAACAGTTAACATCACACGCACTCTTTTGCCGTGTGAAACCAAAATCCAGACTTTGCCTTCTTTGCCCAACTTTCACAGCGTCTCCCCGAACGCACCACTGGCATGCACGCGACCCAAAACTCTTATACTATAGAAGTGGATTTGAAAACCCCGGGCTTTCCTGGACATTTTGGTATATAATTCATAGGAATTTGTTAAAATTTAGAACCGTATTTTTGCTGATTTTATAAGCTCATACTATCTGTTGGCATATACATTCGCCACTTATGGTTTCTTAGGTTTCGCATAATAAATAAATAATAATAATAAAAAATAAATGAATGAATGAATGAATGAATAAATAAATAAATAAATAATAAATAATAATAATAAATGATAATAATAAATAATAAATAATAAATAATAATAATTAATTAATTAATTAATTAATCAAAAAATAATAATCATCTAACAAGCAAATATAATTTCTGGTAAAATTCTACCACTATCTCGATTAAATAAGATGCTCTTATCCTTTGCCATACTGCATGCCTCCCACCACTTCCGTTGATTCCATTTCGACTCTTTCGATAGGATTTTTACACTGTTCCAGTCGATGGAATGTCCTGTCTCATTCACATGGACAGCCAAGGCTGACTTGTCCGCTTTTTGAAGGCGAACTGCCGCCTGATGTTCTTTCTTTCTTTCTTGTACCTAAAGATCTGTAGTCATTTGTCGGAGGATTTAGCTTAACAGAATTTTTTAAAACCAAAAACGTTTGAACAGTTGAAGTGTATTGAGTTGCTACGTAACAAAAAGATAACACTTTTTGAATAAAGAAACATTTATGAATGAAGAAAATATAACTGCCAGGGATTAAATAAATTATTAGTATTAGTATTATTATTAGTATTATTATTATAGGATAATTCAGTTGTCTCAAGCTCTTGTTAGTTTTCTTCTTAGACAAAAAAGAATGTCACATATCGTTATGTAAGTGTTATTTTTATGGGTGAACTAATTATATTTGTCAGATAAAAGCGGTGGAAATCTCCAGCTAGCAAGCTCCTCCCGCTAAATAAAACACATAGGCAAATTGTAGATTTTCCCTTTCGACTTCCAGTCGGCAGTATACCATTAACTACAAGGCGCCAGTAATAAACAAAGAAATAATTGCCTGGTACTATTTTTAGCAACTGTAAAAAAWTTTTTTTTTTTTTACCATCATATTATCTTGTATCATGAATGCCAAAGATTATTCCAGCCCCCCCTCCCAATAAAAATACTTGGATATATCTTATCTGGTCTACTTACCCAAACTAGGCACTAAATAGTAACTGTACTAAATAGGTAAAATAGGTGAATTTATTATAACAATAGAAATTACTATAAATCAACAATTATAGCCTTCATACGTTTATTCGGGTAAAATGTCTATGTATATTCTAATAGCCGATACCAGACTAGAAGAGGAAGTATAGTTCATTAAAAACACATTATTGGAATGTGGGTTTACTCAAAGACCAAACATTTTTTGTCGTAAATTATTTTCACAAAGGATTTGACATTCATGATAAATTGGTGACAAAGGTTTTTGTTCTCAGCTGTTCGTATGCAGCTGGGGCCGTAGCCACGATTTTCCGAAGGTCGCGGAGGGGGAGGGGCGGTTGGGGGCAACTAAAAATCCACCACTTTGTTTGCCAAATCGCCAAACCAAAAAAAGCTCTTACGTTTTACGATTTTTACAAAAAATATAGCAATATAAAATCGGAATTACATTTTACGGTTTTTTTTACAGGAAAAATTAAATATACCGGCCGTATTAAAATCCAAATCAATTTAATGCATGATTACGTTTGGAATTAACAGTGATAGGTTTCTTAGGTTTTTCATTTTGCCATGACCAAAAACAGAGATGGTCCATCCCTATGCCTCGCCAGTATGCGGTCTTGATCATCCCCATCACTGACCATCCATCCCTTATCATCTCTACTGGCGGTCTTCTGATCATGCGTCAATATCATTCATATTCACCGTTGACACCAGAATAATCCCCACCAGAGATGCAATAAATTCATTTTATAAACCTGTTAGTTCTCCATCAACAGCTGCAGCAATATGACACTTGCGAATCACAAACATTTAACATCATCTTGTTATTAATCTTAACTTTACGATCACCATAACGTAACAACCACCCAGTCTACCATTACCAGTCTACCATTACCAGTCTACCATTACCAGTCTACCAT